ACAAAAGAAAAAACTCTATTATCTTAACACATGATGTCTGGCATTCAATAAGAAATTATAACAAGGTCAAGGATTGAGATCCCCATACTGGCCAGCCACCCACCCTCCCTTCCTGCCCCCCGTCCAAATTATAAGATACTTACAAAAGAAAAAAAAAATCCATAGTCAAGAGCCCAAGCAGTCAACAGGATCAAACTTAGATATGACAGGATGTTGAAACCATCAGACAAGGAATTTAAAATAACTGATTAATATGTTAAAGGCTGTAGTGAAAATGTTGATACTACACATGATGTACAGCAAAGATGGTTATAAGGAAGAGTCAAATGGAAATGCTAGAAGTAAAAATACTGAAAGAAAGAAGAAGAAAGAAAGAAAAAGGAAGGGAGGGAGGAAGGAAGGAGAAAGAAAGAGAAAGAGGAAGGAAGTGAGAGAGGAAGGGAGGGAGGAAGGAAGGAAAAGTTCTTTCAACAGGCTCTTCAGTAGACACAATACAGCTGAGGAAGGAGTCAGCAAACATGAAGATAGGATAATAGAAATTACCCAAACTTCAACACAAAGAGGAAAAGAATAGGGAACAGGAAAAAAACAAACAAAACCAGGACATCAGTAGCTGTGGGAGACAATATCAAACAGACTAAAATATGTGCAATTGGAATCCTTGAAGGAAAAGAGTAAGAACAGGAGAGAAGAAATATTTAAAGAGACAATGGCCAAACATTTTCCAAAAATAGCAGACTACACATGCAAGAAGCTCAGAGAACCTCAAGAGAGATGAATGACAATAGCAACCACAAAATATTCCAGTTTGTGAAAATCACAGGCAAAAAGAAAATCTTGAAGGCAACCAGAGGGAAAAAAATGTTACCTACAGAGGAACAAGATAAGAATCACAGCAGAATTCTCATCAAAAACTATGGAAGCCATAAAACAGTGGGGGACATTTTTAAAGTACTGAAAGGAAAAAAGAAAAGCCCATAAACTTAGAATTTTATAGCTAAGTCTTAGTCTGTTGTGTGTTGCTATAACAGAATACCTGAGACTGGGTGACTTGTAAAGAAAAAAGGTTTTATTTAGCTCATGATTCTGGTGACTGGAAAGTCCAAGATTGGATAGCTGCATTTGGTGAGGGCCTCAGGCTGCTTCCACTCATGTTGTAAAATGGAAGGGGAGTGGGTGTGTGCAAAGAGATCATATGCCAAGAGAGAGAAGCCAAGGAAGCCAGACTCTTTAATAACCTGCTCTCATAGGAAGTAATCCATTCCTGGGAGAGTGAAAATTTACTCACTCCTGCATTAATCTATTCATGAGGGATCTGCCCTGATAAGCCAAACACCTCCCACTAGGCCCCACCTCCCAACACTGCCACATTGGGAATCAAATTTCAACATGAGTTTTTGCAGAGACAAACCACATCTCAACCATAGCAAGAACATATCTTTTTTCAGATAAAAACTGAGAGAATTTATTACAAGCAGACTGGTGCATGTAATGTTAAAAGAATTTTTTCAGGCAGAAGGAATATGATAAAGAAACTGTGATCTAACAGAAGGAAATGGTTAAAGTAAAGGTAAATATAAAATATTTCTTCTTATTTTTAATTGTCCAAAAGATAATAGACTGTTTAAAGCAAAAATAGTATTGATGTATTGTGGGTTTATGCCATATGTAAAAGCAAAATGTATGACAATAATAGTACAAAGATTGGGAGGGAGGAATTGGGACTGTACCGTTGTAAGTTTCTTACACTACAGTTGAATTGGTATATTATTATTTGAAAGTAGACTGTGACTAATTAAAGATGTATATTGTAAATGTAAGAACAATCACTAAAATAAAATTTTTTCAAATTAAGTAATAAGTCAATAATAGAGATAAAAAGGAATCAGGCTGGCTGGTTAGCTCACTTAGTTAGGGCATGGTGTTGATAACACCAGCGTCAAGGATTCAGACACCTGTACTGGCCAGCCACCAAAAAAAAATAAAATAAAATAAAGAAAAGAAAAAACATACTCAATCCAATACCATAAATAAATAAATAAAAGAATGTAAAATATCTCACTGTTAAAAATATTGATTACATGTTGAAATAATGTGTCCATACTGAAAATCTAAAACACACTTCAAAGACAATACCAAAAAAAAAAAAGGGTAAAAAGAATGTAAAATACTCAATCCAAAGTTAAGGAAAAACAGACAATAAAAGAAAAAGGAACAAAAAACATATGGAACAAATAGAAAACAACTAAGAAAATGGTAGTTTTTTTAACAATCAGTTTTTTATTTTATTATATAGCACTTTAATACTTATAAAATTATTTTCAGTATCATATTAACTAGGAGGCAGCCTAGTTTTTTTTTTTTTTTTTTTTTTTTTTTTTTTTTTTTTTTTTTTCCTTTTTGTCTTTTTTCGTGACCGGCAACAGATCGCAACCCTCAGTGTCGCGCCCGTACCGGACCGGGACCGGCACCGGGATCGCAACCCTCGGTGTTGCGCCCGTACCTCGCTCAGCCAGTGAGCGGGAACCGGTCTGTATGTGGGATCCGAACCCTCGGACGGGAGCGCCGCTGCGCTTCCCAAGCGGCGCACTATCTAGTGCGCCACCGGGCCGGCCCAAGATAGTCTATATATATATATATTTTTTTTTTTTTTTCCTTTTTGTCTTTTTTCGTGACCGGCAACAGATCGCAACCCTCAGTGTCGCGCCCGTACCGGACCGGGACCGGCACCGGGATCGCAACCCTCGGTGTTGCGCCCGTACCTCGCTCAGCCAGTGAGCGGGAACCGGTCTGTATGTGGGATCCGAACCCTCGGACGGGAGCGCCGCTGCGCTTCCCAAGCGGCGCACTATCTAGTGCGCCACCGGGCCGGCCCAAGATAGTCTATATATATATATATTTTTTTTTTTTTTTCCTTTTTGTCTTTTTTCGTGACCGGCAACAGATCGCAACCCTCAGTGTCGCGCCCGTACCGGACCGGGACCGGCACCGGGATCGCAACCCTCGGTGTTGCGCCCGTACCTCGCTCAGCCAGTGAGCGGGAACCGGTCTGTATGTGGGATCCGAACCCTCGGACGGGAGCGCCGCTGCGCTTCCCAAGCGGCGCACTATCTAGTGCGCCACCGGGCCGGCCCAAGATAGTCTATATATATATATATTTTTTTTTTTTTTTCCTTTTTGTCTTTTTTCGTGACCGGCAACAGATCGCAACCCTCAGTGTCGCGCCCGTACCGGACCGGGACCGGCACCGGGATCGCAACCCTCGGTGTTGCGCCCGTACCTCGCTCAGCCAGTGAGCGGGAACCGGTCTGTATGTGGGATCCGAACCCTCGGACGGGAGCGCCGCTGCGCTTCCCAAGCGGCGCACTATCTAGTGCGCCACCGGGCCGGCCCAAGATAGTCTATATATATATATATTTTTTTTTTTTTTTCCTTTTTGTCTTTTTTCGTGACCGGCAACAGATCGCAACCCTCAGTGTCGCGCCCGTACCGGACCGGGACCGGCACCGGGATCGCAACCCTCGGTGTTGCGCCCGTACCTCGCTCAGCCAGTGAGCGGCCGGTCTGTATGTGGGATCCAAACCCTTGGCAGGAGCGTCGCCGCACTCGCAAGTGGCACACTGTAGCAGTGCGCCACTGGGCCGGCCCAAGATAGTCTATATTTTGGCCATAAAATAAAACAAATTGGAAAGAATTGAAATCACACAGAGTGTTTTCTGACCATTTTGTAATTAAACTAGAGATCAATAACAGAAAAATATCTTCAAAATCCCCAAATATTGGAAATTGAGCAACATATTTCTAAATATCCTACAGGTCAAAAAGGAGTTCATAAAGGTAATTGCAAATGATTTTGTATTAAATACAATATGAAAACACATAATTTATAAAAGTTTAGGGAAGCAGCAAAAGCAGGGCTTAGAAGGAAATTCATAGCATTAAATACATATATGACAAAAGAGGAAAGATCTCCAATCAGTAATCTCATTATCTAAGTTTCCACCTTAAGAAGCATGAAAAAGAGGAGCAAACTAAATACAAAGCAAGCAAAAGGAAGGAATAAATATAAGAATGGAAATCAATGACATCGAAAACAGAAAATTGGGAAAAAATCAAACCAAAAATTGTTTCTTTGAAAAGTTTAACAAGATTTATAAACCTGTAGCAGAATGACCAAGAAAAAAAGAGAACGCATAGGTTACCAATATTAAAAACAAAAGGGAGACATCACCGTATATTTTGAAGACATTAAGAGCATAACAAGGAACTGTTTGTTACAAACAACTTTATGCATGTAAATTTGACAACTTTGATGAAATGGACACATTCCTTGAAAGATAAAAACTTTGAAAACTTACTCAAGAAGAAATAGATATGCTGAACAGTTTTATAGTTATTAAAGAATTGAATTTGTAATTTGAAATCCTTTAAGAAAACTCCAGGACCAGATGGGTGCACTTAAGGAAGAAATAATGCCAATTCTACACACACTCTTCCAGAAAATAGAAGAGGATGGAGCACTTCCTAACATATTTTATTTTACCTTGATACCAAGTTTCTGATTGGTCTTTTCTCCTATTCTCTTTAAGTCATAATTATAAGTACTCATTAATTACATTTTTCCAAAAGTACTTTTTTAAAGGATAGAGACAAGATGTGGATCAAGAAACCTGAGTTAAAGACCATGGGACCAACACAAATAAATCCTAGGTAGCTAAGAGTTAAGGTAGGTCTTGTACCTTTTAGACTGGAAGCATAGGCCCCTTGGGATCTGAGATTCTAACATTACTTTTCTCTTGTTCTTGTTCTTATTTTCTTTTCATGAACAACATTGAGTATTCTATAGTACCGACCTCCAAAATCTAAATGTTGGCAAGGTCTGCATCTCCTGCTGTGTGTCTGCTCTGCCTCAGCTGAAATACTGCTGGGCTTCTCTGTCCTCTTTTGGTCTTTAGCAACAATGCCTATCAAATCAGTCACTATTCCCCTGTTAGAAATACCTGGGATGAGTCCTTGTGACAGTGACAGTGTCCATGTCTGGAGCACCTCTTGTCCTCGTGGTCCTAGTGGTGACTTCCTGTGGATAATACCCTCTGAACATGGTGTTAGGCAAGGGGGTGAGAGCTGTTCTGTGACCTCTGGCAGCTTCATTCTCCTGGGACATTTTTAAGAACTGGAAATGAGGGGTGGTTTCAAGCAAATTGAACATTCTAACCACAAAGTCTCTCTGATTGCAGAGTTGCCTCACTCACAGAGCTCTCCAGCTGTCAGCAGCGCCTGCACTAAAGTGCTCTATTTCACTGATCGGTCACTTACGCCCTTCATGGTTAACATACCAAAGAGGTGAGATTCTGGGATCATTATTTCTCTGTAAAAAAGGAAAGGAAGGCAGAACCATTAGTCACTGCTCATATGAACGCTTAAAGGTGTTTGAGAAGCAGTACGGTAGAGTGAGAAGAGCTCAGGAGATACAGATCCTTGTTCTGTCTTTGCCACTAACCAGTGCCATTACAAGAGACAGGTCATGATGTACTGCTAGGTACAGGTACAATAATAGTACTTCCAATCCTGATAACTATGCAAACATACTCTAAGTTTGGAAAAATCATTTTTTAAGTGTTCCAAATAGCTCCTGCTGATAGCCATGGATTGCAGCCTGGCACTCCAAGACTAGTACTCATTGATCTTTATTACTTTTCAATGACTGCAACTAATCCCTATTGAGAATTTATGTTAAAAGACTGCCAAAAACTCAATATCCATCCTCCTAAGGGGAATGGTTTTAAAATAAAGATATTTAAACTCTTAAATATGAGAGGTTATTAAATAGTTTAAACAAATAGATATTTATTAAATAAATAAAGATATTTAAACTCTTAAATATAAGAGAGAGGTTATAGGATTTTCCTTTCCTAGAGAGTCTGCTTATTTGGTCTGGGTTAGGAGCCAGCTTCCTAAAGACAGAAGGATAAAGATGGTGACACTTGATTTATTTCTACCAGCCTAGAGAACTGGAATATTGTAGCACAGAAGAAAATCAAGAGAACTTAGACATATTTATGGTTGTTCAACAAATTTGATTTCAGACACCTTGTCTTATTTCCAGAGAAGTGATTTGGCCGCTGCTGAAGCAATAAATCTATTCTAAATTCTCAGATCACACCATATGTAATGTCATTTTCATTTCCTAGTGGTGACAGTTGCCAGACCTCTGCTGTTTTAGAGTAATCAGAGTTATCAGGAGCAGTGACCTAACAAAGCCCTGCTATTTCTGCCTGTTGACTTTGGCAGGGACCTGGGTTTAAAGCTAACATCTTATCTTTCCAATCTATTGATTAACAGTCTGTTTTAGTGCTCTCTCCTTTTGTTGCAGTTTGGGGGAGGTGACACTAAAGGATTTTAAAGAAGCTATTGATCGGGAAGGGAATCACCGGTATCATTTCAAAGCACTGGATCCTGAGTTTGGCACTGTCAAAGAGGAGGTACAGAATTCATGAGGACTCTGACTGGTATTGTCGGTTATTCCTGAACCCCAAAGCCCCCCATTCAAGAGCTAGTACCCAGAAGTCTGAGTTCCCTAACCAGGTCAGAGGAGTTTACCAGAGCCTCAGACCATGGTCTGCTTACTCTAGACTAAAATGGTAATAGAACAGCTCAAGATGTTGATAGCTTCTTTAGCTCTAGGACTTAATCAATGACCAGGAACTTGTATAGAATTTTTTTTAACAGGAAAAAGTTTTATTTTGTTAGGTAAAATAAAGAACCTTGAGACAATGAAGTAAAAGGCCTTTTCTGTTTGTAGCCAAATCTTAGGAAACTTCTTGCTTCCTACGTAGAGCGAAATAAACAGGCATGTATATATGGAACTGTGTATTATATGGTGGTTGCTTCTCATAATGAAAACAAGGAACTTCTGGATAGTCATTATACTTATTCCTAACTTCTTGAGTACTTCTTTAGCTTAAGCTTCTCTTTTATAAATCTACTTACCAAATATTCTTTTTTTGGGAGGTGGCAGTGAAGAGAGTTTCTGGGTTATGATATATTACAAGTGCCTTCATTGTGGTTGCAGAATGAAAAAAGTTGAAAAAGCTAATGTTTGATTTTGTAAAGATTTCCTCACTGAAATGTTTTAATAACTGTTTTATTTAGTGGCTTAGGAAACGAATTGAATTAATGAATGAAAAGAGCTGAATCGGAGAAATACATTAAGATTGACCTTCTTTCCAACCCTTTCTTTATAATGCCTGGTACCAAAAACTTCCCCTTTCTTGTTTTTTTTAATGCTTACACACCTGCTTTCTCCTAAGCCCATAGTACTCTGTGATTAGTCATTTATTAATTCTTATAAATCAGTATGAGCAAAGCAGCATTAGGGATGTTTTTGCCATTTCATAGATGTGGAACTAAGAAAAAAATATATAAAATACCAGTTGCAACTTTAGGGACAAAACCAAAGGGACACAGACTCTACCTCAAGTGTTTCTTCTACACTTTCTTATCCTTTATGTTTGAGGTCTTATTTTTATAATCAGCAGCACTTTACTGACATTCCCTACCTTACTCTCTATTTTTTATTGTGTTTTTTTTTTGTTTGTTTGTTTCTCTAGGTTTTCCATGATGATGATGCCATCCCTGGATGGGAAGGGAAAATTGTAGCCTGGGTGGAAGAAGACCATGGAGAGAATTAATGCTGATTATTAGATTGTGGGCATGTGGAATCTGGTCACTCCCTGGCTGCTTCACTCAGGAAAGGGTACTAAAACCAGTATACACCAAGAAGTTTCTAGTTCATGCTGCCACAACAGAAGCTTCTTCAAGTGTGATGGCCACAGGCTAGTCCTGTTTCTGTGCCTGGCATATCTGGTACTTAAAATCTGTGTCCAAATGTAGACCATGGGTTCATCTGAAGTTCCTTGTCCGTGGGAATGCAGCGTTTTCTTCAACTCTGAGGACAACAAACCGAAGGCCTTAACCAATGGGGATGGATGATCCCGTTCCTGTAGAGGCATGCTGCTATTATCTGGAACTGGGGAATTGGATGCATCATTCCTGTGTGTTACAGTATTGTTTTAATTGGCCTCAATAGTTGCAGCAATCAGAGTCCCAGTATTCATACTCACAAACAAGGCAAAGGTACCAGCTTTTCTGCTTCTTTGCAGCTATTGTAAACCAAGAATAACTCATGAGGTGGTACCAAAGATGAAAGCCCACTCTTCAGTAATTTGAACTACACATGGATGGTGCTGAACTGTTGATTGGATGGAAAAAGGGTTGCCCATATTGTGCTATACTGTGCTAAAACCATAATTAAGACGGACCTTGGGCTGCCTCTTCTGGTCTTAACTGGTTCTGTAGCTTGTCCTTTAGCTCACGAAGGGCATATTTTATGTACTGCTAGTTTTCTCTGGGGACTCTTTAACTTTAGAGCCATTTATTTTCCTTCAAATTGATGAACTTTGTGTGTGAAAGGAGTAAAGAGTGAAATGCTCCTTAAAAATCCAGGCGGGTATGGAAAGGTGCTGCTACCCATATCTTCTTGACTTTGTCTCATGACTTTCTTTAACTCATGGCATCTCCTTTGCAATTAAAAGGAGAGGGACCATTAATTTCAGTATTTCTTTGTGACTTATGAGAACTGAGCATGAATTACTGGTTTGTCCCTTCTCATGTCGAGGCCAGAGTAATTTACTATTATATATTTACTCTAGACTGATCCTTTAGGGTACAACAGACACCATGGGGCATGGAGCATGAGTTGTGAATGGCAGGGCTGATTCTGGGTGAAAAAACCTAGAATCATTTCTCATGTACAACATTGTCAAGTGTAGAAGCTAGGAGTTCAACCTTCAGAAATTAACAACCTGGGTTTCTCATTCATCCACCAAGCACCATCAACCAATCAGCCATTTTATATATATATATATATATATGTATGTATGTATGTGTATATATATTCCTAAAAGCAGTCTACCTGTGACCACCGATGTACACTGCCAAACAAAAGAGAAGGACAGATCAGTTCTGGGTTCTTGACCTGTCTGTTGCCAGTTCATCTCCCCTTTTCAGTGATTTCAACAAGACTACTCTTTGGAGCTCTGAGATGACATCTTGTTGTTTTATACAGATGTGTCTTTTAAAAATAGTTCATGTTTGGAGAATTCCTTTGTACTCATTTGCTTTTTGTCTGAGAACCATGTCTATTTTTATAACTGGAGTGTGAGTTTTGTATATTCTCACATTCTATATACTGTGTCCATTTTCTAGAGAGCCCAGTAGCTTTTATAGTCTCTTCTTACCACCCCTTGTGGTTTCAGAACAAGCTTTATTTTATTACAAGTATACTAATGACAACTAATTCCTGTTCCAATTCTACCTGCTATTTTAGTTACGGAGGTAGTTGTATGTAACCCAGTTGATTGTTCCTTTAGCAGATAGAAGGAGTTTACTTACCAGATGTCTTTCATGTAAGTTTACTGGGTCTCGTACTGAAGAATGATTTTTCATCAGAAGTGACTGGGAAAGTTTGGGAAAATCAGCCAAAAGCAAGAATAATTCATAATGAAAGCAAACAGAAGAAAATAGTATATTCTCAGTTTTTTCCCCAAGAAGTCTGGAGAAAAAGTCCTAATGTCACCAAGTTCTCTGTTGCATGAATTTTAATGCCTTGCTATAAGACAGCATGAGGGTTATCAGGCCAAAATTCATTATTGTATTTCCAGTACAATTTATCTTGAATATTTGTCTCTTAAATCAGTTATTTCTTGTCAGTTTTCTTTCAGCAAACAGTCTTACTGTTATCTGGAATTTAACTTTTCAGAGAAAATTAAACCAGAGAAAATTTTCTATGTCTTCTACCTTGTCTTTTACCTCTCTGTCTCTTTTGGAAAAGGAGCTGCATGGCCTCAGTGCCTCCATAGAAAGCTGAAGTTGAATTTAGGGGAAAGCATGAGATAATTTTTTTCCCCTTTAGCTCATTAATCTCATGTACCACAGGTAATGATGAAGTTCATTACCTGTGGTACATGAGATTGTCATGACGGTGTTGGTTTTAGGGTGTGGGGGTCGGTGGCACTATGTGGCGCGTTTGTGTGCGACAGGCACGGAATGCAGCCCCAAGGGCAGGACTGAGGGCTCAGTGGACGGCCTTGCGGGAGGGACCGGGAGCGCCGTGCATGACCCCGCGGTCTGGGCAGGCTGCGGCTCGTTGCAGCAGTGCGACCACAGGGTATGGCGGGGTCCGGACGCTGTGCGGCTGGAGCCCCCGCGCTGGGGCCACGCCGCGGAACCGCTTACTGCTGCAGCTTTTGGGATCGCCCAGCCACCGCTGTTACAGTCTCCCCCCGCACCAGAAGGTGAGCCTCCGACTCGTCCTTCTCGGGAGCCCGTTGTCCTTCAGGGCAGACTTAGTGGCTTCGGGATCCTCCCTCAGAGGAGTCCCCTACTGCCGTCGCCCGTTGTCCAATGCCCAGCTTTATTGTACCTCCTGAGCTTCCCTCTCGTGATCTAGTCCATTGAAAGAAGAGCTCCACGCCTGGGGCTGTATGCGAAACGTCTGCTGAGGTTCATGCTTTTTCAGACCTACAGGACTGTGGAGGAGGAAGCCTGTCAGTGGAATCATGAACTTCTGGTGGGCAGGGACTGCCTTTGGATTCCTAGTGCCCAGTGTGTAATGGGTCTCAAGAAAATATCGCCATTCTACAAGCCTCTCTACTTCAAACCTTTGACTCTTGAGTCTCCCTTCTTAATGTCTTACTCAATCTGTTTAGGGGAGGAAGGCTTGTTCTCTCCAGACTAATTTGACAAAGTTAAGAATTCCTAACCTACCTCTGGGGTAAATTTGCCACCCCTAGACTCAGTTGTGCTTTCCTATAATTTAGCTACACCTAAGTCAAAAGTATATTCAAAATGCAAAGTCACTATTCTTTGAAAAATGCAAAACAAGGTTTAAGGAAGCCTACTTCAGTTAACAGCAGAACAAACGTTAATTGAGATCCAGTTGTTAAATTCAAATGCAGTGAAAATAGCAAGATATTGTAACCAACTCAAAATAGTTAAAAACTTTTAAGGGCTGGCCAGTTAGTTCAGTAGGATAAAGCGCTGTATTATAACACCAAAGTCAAGATTCGGATCCCTGTACCACCCAGCCCGCCAAAAAATAAAAATAAAAACCTTTTAATAAAGTTACAGTATAAGCCCTTTCACTAATCACCATTATTTTTCCATTGCTTCTTCTAATTGTTATAAGTCAAGTTTTACATAACTGCAACAATACAATTGCCCTACTCATTTCAAATATGCTTTTTCACTTAATCTGGAAATTTTATATTTCTCAATTATATTGCCTACGTATTGTGTTAGGCAGTGTGCCTGCTTAAACATTTTCAATTTAAGAGGTATGAACTAGCATCTCTTGGCTGTTTATTTTCCAAATTAATTATTATCAAGGTTGAATATGTTTTCAAACGTTGGCTTAATTTTTTTTCTTCCAATTTCTTGTGTTCTTAGTGTTCTCTGACTGGGACTAGATGATATAAATCAGCACATGCTTCCTCCTAATCTAATGTCACCTTCAGCTCAGAAATGATGACATTTTCCAATTATAAGATGATAACCCTAAAATAGAAGTGTACCTAACAAATTGTGTAGAGGACTTTTGTTCATCAATTCAAATGACTTTCATTCATCCCCCACTATTTACCGGGTACTAAACTCTGCGGATACAACGAACAATACTGACAAGATTCCTGCCCTCACAGGCTTAGTTTAGCTTCCGTACGAAATATTTCAAACACAACAAAGCTTTAGGCTATTTAAAGGGATTCCATGGTAAATGAGGGGCAACATAAAGCTGTTCTGCAAACCTGTATCTTCAGAGAGGGATTATGCTCAATCCGCTACAGTACATTTGAATGCGGGAATGTATCTTCCTCTCGGCCGCCCATCGCATCATTTTGCTGGAAAACCTGTTCACTCCAGCTTCCCGTCCACTTCAGCTCCAAATCTGAAATTGAATCTTTGTGACCCACGTAGCCTGCGCGCGGCCGGTTCCTTTCTCCACCGCAGAGCTCCAAGACCCCGCCCCTTGGCTTAAGGCTCCCTGTGTCCAGCCAGTCCCTGGGCTCACTTCCCAGATTTTTCTCAGAACTTGGCCACTCCCCTCACCCCAGCCTCTCAGCCCACTCTGCCACTACTCGCCCGGCTCTCTCCGCCTTCTTAGGTCCCTCCCTTTCGGCCGTGCCTTTCACGTCTCTTTGGTCCTGTCCTACCCTTTGGGATGACTATCCTAGGACCTCACCATCTTCCACTCCTCTTCATCTTTTATTTCTCCCAAACTTGCACCTGCTTTATCTTCGCTGGAACGCACCTGCACCCGTGGCTCCAAAATAGCCGCCCCTACCAGCTCAGGGTCCCGCTTGCCCCGAGTCTCCGGAGAGGAAAAGCGTAGGCGCCGCACATTTCTGGCCTGGGGAGGGGGTGGAGGGAATCTTCGGTTCCCGTTTTACGACAACGTGCGGCTGCACGCCGTGGCTGACGGCAACGCCGCGCTTCTCTTGGAGAGGTCACACCGGAGACGGTGTTGGTTTTAGGGTGTGGGGGTCGGTGGCACTATGTGGCGCGTTTGTGTGCGACAGGCACGGAATGCAGCCCCAAGGGCAGGACTGAGGGCTCAGTGGACGGCCTTGCGGGAGGGACCGGGAGCGCCGTGCATGACCCCGCGGTCTGGGCAGGCTGCGGCTCGTTGCAGCAGTGCGACCACAGGGTATGGCGGGGTCCGGACGCTGTGCGGCTGGAGCCCCCGCGCTGGGGCCACGCCGCGGAACCGCTTACTGCTGCAGCTTTTGGGATCGCCCAGCCACCGCTGTTACAGTCTCCCCCCGCACCAGAAGGTGAGCCTCCGACTCGTCCTTCTCGGGAGCCCGTTGTCCTTCAGGGCAGACTTAGTGGCTTCGGGATCCTCCCTCAGAGGAGTCCCCTACTGCCGTCGCCCGTTGTCCAATGCCCAGCTTTATTGTACCTCCTGAGCTTCCCTCTCGTGATCTAGTCCATTGAAAGAAGAGCTCCACGCCTGGGGCTGTATGCGAAACGTCTGCTGAGGTTCATGCTTTTTCAGACCTACAGGACTGTGGAGGAGGAAGCCTGTCAGTGGAATCATGAACTTCTGGTGGGCAGGGACTGCCTTTGGATTCCTAGTGCCCAGTGTGTAATGGGTCTCAAGAAATTATGCATGAGATCGAATTGAATGAAAACTTAAACCAGACTGGAATTAGGTAGCCCTTCTTAAATTTAGTGTTTTTCCTTTTTCTCCAACAGGTTCCATTGCCTTCTCTTTCCCCCACAATGCAGGCAGGAACCATAGCTCGTTGGGAAAAAAAAGAAGGGGAAAGAATCAGTGAGGGTGACCTAATTGCAGAGGTAAGTTGCTTTAACATATGGAGATGAGTTCGAAGGGACTGGCTTTGCATTAGCTTTCTGGATGTGTAGTTTATCCCCTTTGCTTAAGAAACATTTATCACAACTTGATATTGAAGAAAATTGGTTAGATAAGTTGTCAGCAGCTGGACAAACTGATTTTTAGCCAAGATGTTTTAAAATAATTTCTTCTTTCATATCTATGGTAGTGGCTTTAGCTTTACATGACTTGAACTGTACTATTCTAGGCACAAGCTAATAAACTACATACTGGCAGAACAAACCTAAGCTACTGCTTTTTGTATTAAAAGGTTGAAACTGATAAAGCCACCGTTGGATTTGAGAGTCTGGAGGAGTGTTATATGGCAAAAATACTTGTTGCTGAAGGTACTAGAGATGTTCCAGTTGGAGCAATCATCTGTATCACAGTTGAAAAGTGAGCAATACTCTTGTAATTTGAAGAACTTACGTGTTTAGTGTCATATTTTAACCCAGAATTGAGAAATTAGGAGTTAAAGACTTTTGAAGACTCCTTCCATGGGAGCTGAATCTGTTCTATAACCCCCTTATATTTATGCATTCTTTCTTTTCCTTAGGCCTGAGGATATTGAGGCCTTTAAAAACTATACATTGGATTCCTCAGCAGCACCACAAGCAGCTCCAACTCCAACTCCAGCCCCAGCCCCAGCCCCAGCCCCAGCTTCGCCTCTTACATCTTCAGCTCAGGCTCCTGGTAGCTCGTATCCCCCTCATATGCAGGTGAGGCTCATCCTTTGAGTGTTTGCTCTAGGTGATCTATTACTTGTTCATTATTTTTCATAAATGGCTATCACATCCTGGAAACTGGCATTAAATGTGGTTAGCTCTTGTCATTTGGGAGTATACAGAGATTTAAAGTTGAAAATTGACAACTTCTATTCCTAGTTATTTCCAGGTATGTGAACTTGGACATCCTTTTTTCTTTTTTTGGTGGCTGACCAGTGTGTGGACAGTTTCTTTAAGCTTTCTCAGCCTCGGTGTAGTACACAAGATAATGCTTGGCATTTCTCGTTCGAGAACATTATGTAATAGATTTTGAGGATGATTTTTACTTATATCTACTCCCTGTACAGATAGAGTTTATAGTAGGCCTCAAGTGCTGTTGAATGAAAGTCTCCAATTGGTGTTTTCCTTTGAGATGTGATAGTCTATTTTCTAAGAGTTGGTGAAGTAGTCCAATAGAATTAATAAATGAGAAAACTGACAATAAAGAATAACTGTAGAATAGACATATGTGGGGCCGGCCCGGTGGCGCACTGCTACAGTGCGCCGCTTGGGAGCGTGGCAGCGCTCCCGCCGAGGGTTCGGATCCCACATACAGACCGGTTCCCGCTCACTGGCTGAGCGAGGTGCAGACGCAACACCAAGAGTTGCGATCCCGTTGCCGGTCCCGGTCCGGTGAGGGCGCGACACTGAGGGTTGCGATCCGTTGCCGGACACGAAAAAAGACAAAAAAAAAAAGAAAAAAAAAGAATAGACATATGTGATAGCGTTGCATCAAAGCTGAAGGCAGTGAATGTATTCACTGTTGATTCTACTAAGTTAGTTTTTAAGAAACTAAATTGGAAAAAAAAGAAAAAGAAAAACTAAATCAGTTTAGTAGATATTAAGGTTATATTATGTAGATTTCTGTGTTTTATTAATTTTTATTGTTTTGGTGGCTGGCGGGTGTGGGGATCTGAAACCTTTACCTTGGTGTTATAATACTGTGCTTAACCAACTGAGCTAACTGGCCAGCCCTAGATTTCTGTGTTTTAGATGTTGGAAGTAGATTTTAAAAAGTCATCCTTTTTCTAAAGGATTAAGAATAGAGCTTTTCCTTAACTTTGTAGAAATTTTTATATAGAAATCATTTTCTTTGTAAATGTTACACCTTATCATCTGTTAGGAACAGTCACTTATGATGAAGTTTTACCTGGTGTTCAGATCACATATTTTATCCTGTTCAACAACTTCTATCTCTTTACATTTATTTATCTACTTTATCTCCATTTTATGTCTGTGACTTTGTGTGTAGGTATTAAGGTTGTGCCTTAATTTTTCTTTAAGATACAGTACAAAGATTATTGGCTCCCCTAATTCTTAAAAAGCAGATGAAGATGGCAAATTCTGATCAAGAAAAGCATTTAAAAATTTTTTCGAAGGCTTGTTTTACTTATTTTTCCCCTTCCAGAAACATCTTCGATTAAAATTATTTTTCTCTCAGCATAATGCTATTGCTAATTAGATACAAAAGACTAAGAAGACAGCAAATGAAATCCGTAATAACTGAATAATCTTGCCTGAGTGCTATTGTGTCCAAGGCTTTATAGTACTAAGCAATAATATGTATTTGTTTCTACAGGTAGTTCTTCCTGCCCTCTCTCCCACCATGACCATGGGCACAGTTCAGAGATGGGAAAAAAAAGTGGGTGAGAAGCTAAGTGAAGGAGATTTATTGGCAGAGATAGAAACTGACAAAGCCACTATAGGTGAGATTTCTTCAACTCTTAATGGTTGAGGCACTGAGTTTTCCAATGAGGAAGAGGATTACCATCCTTTCTTATAATGAGTGAGTGATAATATGAAAACTTTATAATTCTTAGGATTCATTTCCTAGGACAGAATATTTTATAACAAAAATGTGCATGGTCAGATTTGTCAGTTCCATAGTGTACTCATTGAATCAAAGATATTTTAACTTAGAGCTATTCTTAGGCCAGAGTTTGCTTCTTAGTCTTATTACCATATTACAGAGAAGCTATATTAGAAACTGCCATTGTCTAAAGGCAAAGGAAAGAAAGAGGAAACAGGAGAAAACAGGCAGGAAAATACCAAAGAATTTAAGAGGACTATGAGGGAAAACTGAAACCAGAACTTAGATTGTTTCCATAGTTTTAAATGACTGATAGAATGTATACATATCGCATTTCTATGTGTTACCCACTTTTTGATTTGTTTTTATGCTTAGAAACAAAGCCTACATAGATCATCATGTATTTATAATAATATTTATAAGATATTTGTAGGTATTAATGAATTTCTTTTCTCTGCTCCATAAACACCACTGAAGGGAGGCCTACCCATTTCCCCAAAGATGTAGTGGGAGATTCTTGGCATCCTCTGCAGTGGTTGTTTTCAGATAATGTTCTTCAAATTCCATCGTTTCTTGATGGCACCTTGCGGCAGAAGGGGAATTAAACAGCAGGACCCTACAATGCTCTGCTTGCCTCTGCCACATCCACCAGAATAATTTCTTTTTATTCTTTTGCATGTTTTGCTTCCCCATAAGATTTTGTTAGAAGAAAGGATGCTGCTTCTTAAAAAGAAAAAAAAAAAAAAGAAAGAAACAAAAACCTTGGAAACAATAGATCTTCCTCATTTAACTGGAATACCAGTGTCACTCTACAAACTAGTATTCTAGAAACTCTAGTTACTAGGGAAATTTGAGTATCCTTTATCTGAAATGCTTGAGACCAGACGTGTTTCAGATTTTGAATTTTTTTTTGAATTTTGCAATATTTGCATTTATATATACTTGCCGGTTAAGCATCCCTAATTCTAAATGTTCTAACGAGCATTTCCTTTGAGCACCATATCTGTGCTCAAAAAGTTTCAGATTTTGGAGCATTTCAGATTTCAGGTTTTCAGATCTGTATTACCTTGGTCAGAGTCTTTAAAAAGGCCCAGAAATCTGCAAAGGGGCTGGCTGCCCTTGGTGATGTTATTTTATTTTATTATTTTTTTGGTGGCTAGCTAGGGAGATGTTTTTAATAACAACTTTTAGAACTAACAGTTATCTGTAATCTGTTAGTTTTATTTAACAGATATTTATTTGGTATTTACTTTGTAACAGGTACTATTTCTAAGTACTGGAAAAATATTAATTTATTTAAATTTATACTATTCCTGTGAAGTAGATATTATTATCTCCATTTTATAGATAAAGAAACAGAGAGAGAGAGGTAAAATAGCTTGCAAAAAGATTATATAGCTAGTTTGAATGAAAAAGCCTTTT